CGCCGCCCCGCCGCCCCGCCGCGCCCCTGCGTGCCTCGCGGTCACTAGTACGCCTCTGCCCGCCACGCCACGCCACTCGCTCATTTCCCTGGCATGTCGTATAAATCCTGCTTTCCCGGCAACACGAACGTCATGATTATAGTCGTCCCCGCCGTCTTTCTTTTTACCGCTGCAGAGGTCCGCGAGCGCGCAGAGGGACCCCCCGACGACGACATGTTGACGACGGCGGCCTGCTCCGCGCTGCTCCACCGGGTCAGGCAGCAGCGCCCAGGTGCGCCAGGGGGTGCGAGGTGTCGTCGCAAAGTGGCGCAGGGCGCAGCGGGCGGAAGGACCTCTCACCCACGCGCGCGCCAATTCCGCCGGAAGACGCTGGAGCAGCCCGTGGAGAGGACACTGGAGCAGCCATAGCATCGGTCTCCATACACTTACTACTGGAGCAGCAAAAGTAGGTGGAGAGAAACAGCGAGATTTTCAAAGGACGTTAGTGGCTTGCGTTTCCCATGGGGCCCTAAATCTCACGAGTAATGTAAATTTCTTTCGTCTCAGTTTTCCCGATCTTTTTCGTTATTTTTATTTATTTTTTTTTGTTGTAGCCGGGATGGACATGCGATACGTGCCGGGTGATTCAGAGAAGACGCAGGTGCGATTGGGTTTGCCTACCCAGGGGGCCCTGGCGCCTTACGAGCAGAGCGAGTAGGCCAACCCACCCACACCTGCGTCCTCTCTGAATCACACGGTAAAGGAATCACAACCCGGTGGACCACTTCGTCGGCTTAGTGCGTGATGGTTTTTCTTGCGTGCGAACGGCCGCGAAGGACTTCCCTGTTCTGCGACGTTTCTGACAGCCTCCGCTGTCGCTGCTGTTCGAGGGTCCCCCAGGCTTTGGATAAGGAGTCGAAAGCAAGGGGAGTACGGCGGGGTGGGTCGCGCGGGTCCTGGGGGGAGAGGCGGACGAGTGGGAGGAGTGGGAGAGGGTGGCAGGGGAGGAGGGCAGGCGAAGGGAAACTCTTATTACAGTCATTGCTGTGGAATGCATCGCGGCTGGCTGAGGCGGGCCGCCGAGGATCGGTGGTGTCGCCTTCTTAATTGCTCGCTGAAAGTGGCGACGAGAGGTCGAAGCGGCTGAATAAGCTAGCAGCGCGGGGCCGTTGGGCGCGGGGCCGTTGGGCGCGGGGCCGTTGGGCGCGGGGCCGCTGGGCGGGGGGCCGTTGGGCGGGGCCGATGGCTTTGCGGGCGTCGCTGCGGTCATCCGTTAATTATTTGAATAAAGCGCGCGGGGGTTGCGCCGCTTATTGAAGCGGTTCTGCAGGCGATTGCGCAGTGGTGGCGCCGCCGCAATGGAGAGAGCGAGAGATAGGACAGACAGACAGACAGACAGACAGACAGACAGACAGACAGACAGACAGACAGACAGACAGACAGACTAGTGTTGCCAGAAAAGTAGGCAAAACCCGCCCAACACACAGCTGTGCGGAGCGGTCGGTATCTACGCCTGCCTACTAGGCAAAACCTCAACACGAATGTGTAGATGTTGCCTAGTAGGCAGGCGTAGGTGTTGCCCCCTGGTTCTGCATAGAGGGACTTTAGCGTCTCTCAAGTGGGTCCGCCTAAAGAGCCTCTCTGCCCTGCTGCGCCCCGTGCTGCGCGCGTCCGGCAGGGGCCGCGAGTGCGTTGGGCTGCCTAGCCGCACGGCGCTC